TTTCTTTCTTTCTTTCTTTCTTTCTTTCTTTCTTTCTTTCTTTCTTTCTTTCTTTCTTTCGTTTGTTCTAACCCAGCGTCACGTACAGTGTTTTCCATGTCCAGTCGAAAACGATATGCGTGATAGTACCTCTCCAGACACCTCCAAGTTTTCAATGTTGCAGAAACACTAAAAGTTTAAAACCCCATCTAAATAGGTAGGAAACGTCAAACGGAAGTATAAATAATATATCTTTGGGTTTCTGTTTATTGGAGAATATCTTTCATTCGCAAATCAACAGGGAAACMCCGAAGATCTTTACAAGACAAAATTCCGCAAAGATTATAAACAATTGAGCTTTATATATGAAGGTTAAAACCATAGTGAGGGTTCAGGGGAGGATCCAGGAATTTTAGAAGGGAGTGACTGTTACAAAGGTTATATAACGGGAACGCGAGGAAAAGGGGGGTTACTGCTAATAAAGATATACTGATACATTTGAGCAAAAGGGGGGGGGGGGGGTGACTAGTCACCTATATTACCAACCCTGGGTCCGCCACTGGGGTTTTCATTGAAATTGAAGACCCTAATGAAATTTTTTTTTATACATTTGATGACCAAATTCTGCGATAAAAATCAGTATCGAAACATTGTAAAAAATAAAATTATAAAATAAAGGCGAAGTTTCGACGTTGCACAACGTAAATTCAAGCCAATGACTGAATGAAACAAGCAAGAGCGATGACAGCAAAGACCGAGGGCACGAGCCACTTCAATAACCAAACACATGCTCATTTGTTATCTTTTGATATAAAAATAGACCTTGTCTCGAGTGTCCCATTCCTCCCTTAAATAGTAATTTTAAGAAATATTGAAAACTTTACTTCTTTCCTCGTAAATATGACCAAAAAAAATTTCTTTGAATTGTAAACTTGCAATATAGTATGTATGTCATTTATGTATCAATATTGAAAAAAAAATTTTTTTTAAATTAATATCATTTTTTACTAATAGAGCTTGATTAGTTTATGCAATCTCCACGCTTCACACTATCTATCCCATGTTAATTAGTCCTGGGTGCAAGAGTGCCTTGTTTAACCCTCTTGGGTTGTCTCTCTTGCACCCTCCACCTTTTCATTTATTCTTATTGTAATTTATGTAAACCTTTGAACCCTTGAATCTTCCCTGCTGATTAGAATATGATTTTTACAAAGACCGACTGGACTTGACACAAGACGATGGGCGAGGATATTAGTTTGAAAACTAAAATAATACACAGGGAAGCACGGGTTGAGATGCTGCTAATGGCATTAATGTTTTACATATAGGCATGGTTTCCATCTCTGGACCATCTGACATGCGTTTAGAAGTCGTTTTTGTTGGTTCTCTCCTGTGCTTCGAGGTTTTCCCCGGGTTTCCAGCCGGTTCCTCCTTCCAGCGTGACAAAACACTTGCCTCCCGTTGAGCTTGCCTGCAGACAGCACCTTGAATCTATTTTTGACCCAGGTTTTGCTCTAATAGAGCACATGTTGGCAAAACTCGTAAATATTTATTATTTTGAACATAAGCTAATGTGTAATAAATACGTTGCGCTCTTGATTACTTAGTGTCGAAGCTATTGTATTAGTTTTCTTTAGGCGCCGGGAAATTTGTAGTCACATGCAGGGTTCCTTTTTCAGATATCCCGATATGTGTCAAAATCTCATTCATAAAAGAATAAAAAGATCCCCTCATCCTTCTACGCAGTTTTCGTTCTCTTTAGACTTACCCTGCTCCACATTTTTTAAACATTTTCGTCAAACAAGGCTCGAAAAGAGATGATTTGCACTTTCCTTACCTGGACCTGGCAAATACTTTGTCTAAAAACTCAGTTTACAATCATTCAAATCCCATTCAGAGAAAACAGATGGATCTGTGACCACGGAAGATTGGATCAGTTATCACGGAACTGATCGAGGTCATCTTTTTCCAGTCTTTTTTGATATAAGAGCAGTAAACATTAGACCGCCTGCCTTGCTTCATGGTCTTAAAGTCGTGCGAGACGTATTATTAAAAGGTATTACTAGTATTAAAAGATTCGACTTTCAGATTTACCGTCCTTTTCGTCAAGCGATTGACCGATGAAGACCGGAAGTCATCAAACGCCTCAAACTTGTCAAAAACATGTCAAAAACTTTATATGGGTGGCCACGGTTCGACGCGCACGACTGTAATCACCTACCAGTACATGACAATTTTTACTCCTCTCCTCTAAGTTCAGGCATCGCCAGACACTCGTTCTGTTTCTTCTACGTCATCAAATCTAATAAGAAATTTTAGCAATCGCGGACACGTTTTTTTTTTTGTACAAAATGTGGCTATTGTTATAACGTAACACAGGAGGCCCACTTCAGATAACATTAAACCATTAATTAGACATAGATTTAAATAGAAGAGAACAAAAAGCCAGAAACGACAAAGCAAATAGAAGGATTTTTAAAAAAAACTTTTATTAACTTTTTTAAGTGGTTTCCTGTGATTTTAAGATCTATTACCCATCCCAAGGTTGAGGGGGGAAACTGGGAAGAGTTTGTATTACATTGCATTGTGGGACTGTTTTACGGGACTTATTGCGTTCCCTAACGATCCCACAATGCACTGTAACGCCAACTCGACCCAGTTTCCCCCTCAACCTCGGGATGCCTATTACAAACCAGCTTTTCATATTCGTTTTTAGTTCAAAGGAGGTCTATTATTTTTCAGGACTTGAGTCAAGTGAACTAGCTATAGACTTACCTAGTTCTATTGATGTTTCATCACGTGCCAGTGGCCACGTTTATAATGGCAGACACAATAAAATCTTTTACTCTGGAGAACTGCATTCTTTCTCGTGTAAAACGGATTGTATTGTTCTTGCCATCTAACATGGCTGTCGTCAAGTAATGATGTCAGACACTCATTGTTGAAAACCGTCTTTTGATACAAAAGAAGCTCATCCATTTTGTATTGTCGGGAAAAATGGTTTCAGTACCGTTTCCTAATCATAAGAAATTTAATTCTTAGAGCACTTGTCACAAAATGTCACAAAACAAATATTCTTAAATTGTTTTTTTTTTCAAATTTAAATCAAATTTAGACATTTCATGTATACTTCCCAAGGAGCAAGTGGTAAGCGAAAGAGAGAGTCAGTAAACGTGTGTTTCCAAAGGTGTTAATTGTCATAAAGATGTCTTGTTACGTTACTATGCAGTTAGGAATTCATTTTCCTTCGGCTTTAAAATCCTAAGTGACGATAATTTATCTATAGCTTATTACAATATAAACAAATTAAGGGGATACTCTGTTTGAATAAGGTGTTACAAAGGTGAATTCCAGTAAAAATTTTCCCTGTGTTTTCTAATACCAACGACACAGGAAATTTGCACATGATTTTTTTAAACAGAAAAGCTTGACACATTCTCGTTAATTTGAAGTTTTGAAGGAAAAAAATGGTCTCTGAAAGTTTTGCCTTATTCAAAAGTTACGACACACATACTGTGATTTCACATCGATCCATGCACTATTTCGATCACCTCGCTTCATATTAGGATATTTTCCCCTTATTAGTATTACGTCAGTGAATGAAAGTATGAAGCACGACGCCAAAACGTCAACATTATATTACTAAGTCTTTTGTGATAAAATTGCTAAGACAAAAACTCATAATTTTTTATTGAATGTGTTTTACGATATGACGCAATTCAAAGTTGTTCCCGTTGCTAGTATATTTTGACGTTATCCATATTTCTATTTCAGGACAGACGATTAGTACTAACTGTGCTCACGCTCGTGCTGAGCGATTAAAAGACGGCCTTAGTCTGCCAATACCATGGTCGTAGTAACGCCAGTTTATATTATAATTAAACTCGCGAATCAAAAGTCAATAAAATAATCTAATCCAACTTCAGATATGGTTGAAATGAAAGAAGGATATAACGAATTTTCCTCACTGACAAATTTGGTTCACATTCTTGAGTAATTTAGGCGATAGTCGATTAAGATAATCCACATTGGTAGTTAAACCAAAAAGATATAAAAGAGCATTGATAGTTCACAGGTGTTTTTCATTCAAAATGCCTATTATTTGTTAAGCATTGAATTTCCAAACCAAGTTGACTCCATTTCTACTCTCTTAGTAACAAAGCAAGTCGCAAGGAATGTATTGTGTTTGCGCGCGCAAATGAGCTCTCAATTCCCCTACTGGTCCCCCGCTCATTCGTAAGACAAAAGGCTCTTTCAATGAAACTGATGCTATAAAACTACTTTGCTTAATGGAATTAAGGTGATACGTTAATAACGTTCATTACTGTGTTGATTCACTCGCTAACTGCAACCAACAACCTAAGTAGACTGACTTACTGATCAACTTGAAATCCAACTCGGGTGAAATTATTTAAGATTATGGAAAGAAAATCTTCTACATTAGCCTGGCCTTTTTCTTACTTCTCCAACTCGTCTATGACTCACAATCACCTGCAAGAGGGTCCAGATAGCAGTATAGAACCTGGTTATACCCTGTCTCTAGCTTCGGCTCCCCATATGGCAGCGGATCGATCTGGAAGCTTTCTTGCGCCTTGTTACTGGCCGCCACACTACTCCACGCCGTACGGAGTTGGCCAGCATACTGCTAGTAACCAGCACGGGAAGAGAGGAGGGTCCACAAGTCCTTGTGACTGCACAACCTGCGTAACAAGCCCTTCCTTGGCTTACAAGCCTTTCTTGGTGACGCCTCAAGATACCAGAAGAAATGAACCTACATCCACGACGTTGTACTCGCCAAGAGACACTCGCCAACCTCTACGAGCTGCGAGCAATGATCCTCAAAGCCTCAAACCCGCTACAGGTAAGGTCGGGAAACCCTCGAATAAAATATCCAAGCACGTTGGAATCTTCATCTAAATGATCTTTCGCTTCTCTCACACTATTAAAGCTATAAATCCTCATAATTCTCACTAACCGGTACTACAGCGGTATTGAGCTGATTTATGTCCTCATTAGTAGCTGGCTATGTTTGCCTTTGAAAACCAAAGATCTCCGTCATTCCCATATTATTTTATGTATAATGAAATTATTTCCCGCTAATAACCCAATAAAACTAATAGGTTGTCCGGCAGAGCAGTTTAAGATAAAATGCTGAATTTCTCACTGAACAAGTATAAAATTTGAGATAACCTTTTCGGTTTTTTTCCTTGAAGGATCGAATAAATTTATTTTGACTAGCTTAAAGCTTTTCTTTGTTAGTTTAAAGGTATCTTGCATGATGATGACGAAGCGCCTAATAAGATTAATTCTATTATGATATAAAGTTAGGGACGTGCATGATGTAGATACAACGCCTGCTCGTATTATCCCCGTTAGTAAGTGAGCAAATCAGTAAAGGTATATGTTTGAAAAATGGACCATTTCGTGGGATATTTACACGTAGTTTCCATTCCGGCAACTATCTTTATGCTCGCTTAAGTTTTAGCATTTCGTGGGACATTGTATATCGATGCCTATGTAAAAAGTTATATCTTTGGGTTTGTTTTTTTTTAACTCAGACATTTTTTTAATGGAGTATTTTAGAGAAGAAGAAGAAGATGCACATTGATTTTTTGGGGTTAAACGGCTATGTCGATTCCGAGTTTTTTTGATCGCGTAATAAGTCAAACCCCTTGGAACAATTTTTGCTTCATTGACTTCAAACTTTTAAATTAACGCTTTCTTTGTTCCTTACGACAAAAATGGTCAAAACGAATAAGAGATAAATTTCGTACAAAAGAAGAAAAAAAGTATCGAAGCCGTTGCCTTAACATTTCTTTATTTCATTATCATTATTTTTCAATCAATTATTTCCCGTTGTTGAAATTAAAAAAGGCAAGATCACGAACGACGGTAAACATTCGTGCTAATGACATTAACGGTAATGATGGATATTTTAGCTTTAAAGTGAAGCTTTATCATACTTTATCATAAATGTTTATGTGGACATTCAACTAGTTAAGGAAATATATAAAATAATATGATGACTCAACAGTAATCGAAAACTGTTATTTATCTTGTTTTATCTAATCATTACAACTGCTATATTTCATAATACAATCCAATTAAAAGTTATTAGGCTTCGTAACAGCTTTATTGGGAATTTAGATATATTTCAGAAAAGTTTATAAAATATATAGTCACTACAAGAAGAAAAAGACTTGCACTTCAGGAAGAAATCGATACATTTACTAATGATTAATACAACAGCGGATCCTAGTGAGGAATTATCTTTCCTTAAAAACAACCAGCGTTTCCTGAAGCTCAAAAAGAAATGTTATTGAAAGAAGCTTTAGCCCTCATATAAGTATCATTTTCGGCAGAAATGCCGGAAAGTTTTGAGTGGCGTTTCTCTCGAGGCCATTACAACACATCAACGTTGTATCATTTTTCTCCGCACTTCCTCCTCAGTTCAGTCAGTCGACAAAAGGACACATTTCCACTAAGTTTAAACACAGTCATTTCATTACAAAACTTATAACTCGCAGAAAATTGGCAATTAGATCAGATATATTTAGGCTCCGTAGCTTTAATGACGGCAATAATAAACAAAACTGTTCAAAAGTCATAATGAAACAAAACGAGAACTCCCTCGCCCCATTTCATTCGCAGAACGTGCTTAACTTTTCCATTGGTGTAAACCTAACTCATTAATCCCGGAAACACTATTTTTGTGTGTATTTAGTCGTCGTTTTGAGAAATTAAGGAGAACATCTTTGTTGAAGTACCATAATAGGACATAAGAACAGGTACTTGATTATATGAGGGGCGGTTTGAAGTATAAAAATAAGCTGCAAGTTTGCGTACTAAATTTCAATTCAAAAATGTCCTTGAAAAGAAGTGACTAAGAAAGACTAGAACTTTCTCCTCAAGCCTTCGTTTTCGACACATAATAACTGTTTATTTTATTATCAGTCGGCATTCTAATGTTACCTGCAGAACAGACGACAATTAAATATTAGATGGAACATGTTTTCATTGTAACTCTTAGAGAATAGAGCGGGGAAAAAGACAGTTCTTGTAGTGTTCTTACACGTGGGTTTTCAGCTCCATCACACGTGGGAAAGAATTCGAAAGCACCGCTAAATTAACCCAGTAAATAATACCAAACAATTAGTTTTACGAATTGGCTCTACAAGATTAGTTAGGATACTAAAGAAGTGAATTTTGTAGTATTTTTCTGCAATTTATTTGACTAAGATAATTGGAATTAAAACCCAGAAATTTTGAATGTTGTTTCAAAATATATAAACCTTATCTTTCAATTATATCTAATTACATATCTAATTATACTTTAGCTGAGCTTGTTGACGTTCAATTTTGCCTCCAGCTATTAGATTTGATAGGGGGCTTTTGTTTTAAACCTTAAACAACTCTCACTTCTGAAGCCAGTTTAGTACCTTGTGCAAACAGAAAAGAAACGATAAGTCGTGAAGAGATAAATTTTAAACCCGATTTTGATGGATTGTTGGATTATTTAAAGTTTCGTTATACACCATGAATCTGAAGTATGTCGTACGTTATATTAATTATTTCATATAATTGTTCACTTGCTAAATAATTTGTTTAGCATCATCAATGATAAATATTTATGGCGTCAGGGAGGTGATCGAGTTTAGGAGCAAACCTTACACGAAAACACTTAAAAATATTATATTTGTACAATGTATTTAAGTTTTACTCAAAATTCGAACATTTAAAATCATAATTTGCCTAATTTTTTAATTTTTTCTCTCTCTTTACAACAGAATATTTCGTACTTGTAAACCGAAAGCTTTATTTTCGAAACATCATTATTTCCCAATTTTTCTATGGTCTATTTATTTTGCCGTCAATTACTCGCTCTAAGGCTCTGGCTAAACGAGGAAACATGTTTCCAGAAACATGTTTTCCTAAATGTTTCCTAAGGTGGCAAAACTATCAGGAAACATCGGGAAACAATGTTTCCATGCGTCTTGGAAACATGAAATGCTTCTGCCGCTCAGCAAAAACATTTTTTGCGTCTTGGAAGCAAAATTTGTTGGACGCAGCAATGTTTCGCATGTGGCTAAACTGAGAAATATCGAGGAAACATGCGTGCGGTAAACATGTTTCCTCGTTTGGCCAGGGCCTAACCAATGCGAATTCTTTTCACTGTAGTTTCTCCAACTATCTGTGTGCCTGATAAAGAGATTCATACCAACGACAACATAGCTTCGAACATAGCTCCAGGACCAAGACGGGGAAGAACTGTTTTTACAGCCCAGCAACTTCAAGTCCTCGAGCGAGTCTTCTTGAACACTCAGTATATCGTTGGATCACAAAGAAAATTTCTCGCAAACCAGTTAAGGCTTAGCGAAACTCAAGTACGTGTTTGGTTCCAGAATCGAAGAATCAAGTGGAGAAAACAAATGCTTACTCATTCTATTTAAAATGTTTTAAAAAAATCATAGTTTGCATAGTTTGCATATCGTTTGCATTTCTTCTGCTAGCTGTAAAAAAAAAAAAACACAAAAAAACAACAAAAAACAAACTTGGAACAAGTGTTTGTGTGTAAATTGCATAGAAACAGAATCATCATTGGATGTCAAAGAAATCGTAAATATAATAACTTTGTATTAATAATAATATTACAAGGCTTAGGCACATGTTTAACTAATAACAAGACTTTTACATCTTTGTAGTATACGTAATAAACACATACTGATATAACCCCATTTCATTCATACAGTAAATAGGTTTTAATTGTATGATAGGTTATTCAATTAAAATATTTATTTGTGGAAGACGATTTCACTTTTAGACTGACTTTTGTAGCGTTGGCGGGGCGGTGAAGAAAAGCAGAAGAGAAGAAACTAAGGTTTTACTGTTAAATTTTGTTAGAAAACAAATAAAGTTAGAATCGTGCAGTACGAATTCTTTATGCAAAATGGGGTAGAATTTGAAAGGGCGGACGATAAAATTTGGATACTTAGTTTCTCTCGACATAAGTTTTTTTTTGTCTGGTTCGGACCTTTTGTTTCAGGTCTGCTTGAAAACAGAACCTTAGTGACTCTCAAATGGCTTTCGCTTTTAACCAATCAAATATGCACAATAGCCATTGGAGTGCTTGGTTACGGAAGCCTTTTGAAAGCCACGGTACCGTGTGTTTGCTATTTTTACGAAACACTCACGATTTTAGCTCATTATCCCATATTTATTTATTTTAGTTTTTAAAAGTCTTACGTATTTGCTCTTAGTTGCTCCGAAAATTAAATTTCAAAGTGTATCTATAAAAAAATTACTGAAAACCCAAAGATCCGCCCAGATCCGTGGAGGCTGTTTTCTTTTTCAGACTTTTCAGGGGATTATTATTAAAATTTGTCGAAGGAAGCTAGACACTCCCGTTCTGTGCCTTCAAGAAACGTTTCTGTTATGTAAGTCTCTGGCATTTCGGTGCAGTTGTGTTAGAATGTAGCTTATTTGTCAGGCTTTTTTTAAATAGAAAATGTATGGGAAATAAGCAAATGAAGGCCTAAACCTCATTTTCGATTTAAATTTTTGCTTCGGGTTAACACTTTGATTCCACTTTCATCGGTTATCTCCACTTCCAAACAAGCTAAACTTTCTTAATAACAAGATTTTAGCCTTGTGCAACAACCTTTCGTCAAGAAATTAGTTTTTGGCGCTCACACTTAAATACGAAAAGAATCCTCTCTTAATATTAAATACCAGGTTAAAGTAGGGAAAAAAGAAAAAAAAAAAATCGTTAATGTCTTCCAATAGATCGACCAAGTGGCATGAACAGGTCAAATCAACTCCGAGTTGTTTTGACCAGACTAAAACTCATCAAAAGACAACTATTTCATAGCAACGCAGTTCAAAACTAACTAAATTAATTCATCCTTTTGTCTCTGAAAGAGCCCTCATTATCGTTGACAAGGCGTTACTAAGTCCCTCTAAAGAATGTTCACCCGACTTGTACTTAGACCAAAGGATATTCAACAGCTTTGTCAATACCATGCCAATTTTCATGATTGTCATAACAATTTTTTTTCACTTGAAATTATATATAATAATTTTTTACTTGTTACTTTAGATATTTTTTTTCAGTAATGATAAAAACTTGACATTGGAAAAACGTTTTTTAAATTTTATTTGTTCGTTTGCGTCTAAATTTATAACTGATCTATTTACTTCAAGCTTTCTTTTAAGTTCTAACGAAAAGAGTCGTCTGAAATGCCATTTCAGTGCCGTACTCAGAAACGGTTTCTGAGTATGTTTTCAATATTAGAACATTTTGGAAAATGAAGATTCGGAATGATTCTACATTTCAGGTTCTACGAATATTCGTGGAACATGACATAAAGAACCCAAGAAAAAAAAATTGACGATGTTTATAAAATATAATACTAGAACAGTCAAACAAAATAAACTTTGCATTTCAGTTGTCTTTGGCTTTGGCTTTGCTCATATTCTGTTTGCTAGAGACCAAAGCCAAAGTGATGACATACTATTAGATATGCGTTTTTTTCCAGTCGCCTTGGGCATAAGACTGATCAAAACAACTTATACCTATAAACCCCTCAATGAAATAACTATGCACGTGAGGACAAAGACTGTTCAGAAGAGAACTGTTGAAGATGGAGGACTACGTGAATTTTTCGGCCATGGAACAGTATTGGTCGCTTTCCACGCCATTTGACCCAAGATGTACCTGCTCTTATAATACTCCACATGGGGTTAGCCAGGACCCTATCTATTACGACGATTTAAAAGATAAACAAAGTATTAGTCTTGTGAGCCATGTAGGATCGAGTTTGGGATTGGAAGTTGATGAGAATGAAAATACCACTGATACGAGCGAACATTGCGTGCCGTCTGCTTTAGCGACTCAGGACAAAGGTAAAGCAAAACTCATACTTCTATTTCAATAACTGGAGTGCACGCACTAAACCCGTGAA